AAGAGTGAATGAAGACCACAGACTAAAAGCATCCAGAATGAACTGACACAAACAGGGAGATAGGTGGAGCCAAGGGCTCTAGTAAGTTTACTGTTGTTCACATAATAGATTTGCTAATTCCACAACTTGGGGATGGGGATTCAGAAAGGGAAGCAGAAAGAGGGAAGAGAGAATCATGGAAGGGCTCATTCAAGTTTTCTAGTGTATCACAAACCTGTCCTCCCTAATGTCTGGACTATAGTAGCCCATTCCACTCACCTATTCTGTAGTGAAGTTCAGTAGAAAATACAAAGCAATCACCACCCAGTTCTTTCTCCCTTCTAGAGATGAGATGTTAGCCACCCAATCCCAGACTCTCAGATCCATTCCAGGAAAGAAGCCCTAGGTATTGAAGCATAGGTTTCCCTCCCTGCTTTCTTCTACCCTTCCTCCTTCTCTCCCTCCCCGAGCCACCACCACATCCCACTTTGCTCCACTTCCAAATCTTTGTTGCTTGGTTCGGGGGCCACGCCAAGATTTGTTCCCCAGATAGTTCTAGTAAACGCCAAACCAAGTATATTCTCATTCTTTAGAGCAACCAGCTTTTCATGGCCAACTGGAATCAAATACAACCTGCACAAACATCTATCCGGAGGACAATCCAAGGCTCCGACTGAGCCAGCCTTCTGCATACCACTGTATTTCAACTTCCTATTCACAAGACACTGAGACATTCTTGAATTCTGTAAGGTGCACTGCATGTTAATACATTGCTACTCATCATGTGGCCAATATAGGGCATGACTAGTCAACAAATTTTCTCTTGGCTAAAACTTGCAACAAAACTGTAAGTTGTTTACCAAGGGGCCCACTACAGGTTATATTCAATACATACAGTCAAATCATAATTATCTGAGGTATATTCAGTTGACCATACGCCTTTATATTTCAGTAAAAGTTCTTTACATTTCCCAGTGCTATCGATGTTACAAAATGCTTTCATGTGCAGTGCTTCATCTGATTCCCAGGATAATTAAATGATGCTGTCATACCTGATTTTTAGATGAGGAAATAAGTGGTTTCTGGGTATTTCAAGAGGCTAACGCATCTGCCCTCCAACTTGTATGTGTAAACCAAAAACAAAATTCCAAGGCCCTTCAACCATCTGAATGGACTTTGACTCTTTTGTTCAATATATGGCAGAGCTAGGAAAAGAAGGTGAGTCTTCCAGCTGCTGATACAGGGTTTTTTCTGCCATACTGCATTACCTCCAAGGCTAAAATCAAAAGACAGTGTGGTTATCACAAGAAAAAAATCTGGTTTGGATTTCCCAAATGTGTATGTAGTGTTTGGTGATTTATGTTAATTTAACCTATTGTTCTTTTGGGTTGTAACAGTCAGACTCCATTTTTGAAAACAAAACAGAATCGATTTTAAATGCTAAATTATTGATCATTGCTGTCTCGTATGGTAGCTACTAACCACTTATGGTTATTTGCATTTCTATTTTAATTAATTAAGTAAAATGCAAAATTCAGTTCTTCAGTTGCTCTAGCCACATTTCAAGTGTTCAGTAGTCACATATGGCTAATGGTCGGGACAACGCAGATTATAGAACAGTTTCATCATCAGAGAAACATCTATTGAACAGTGGTATTACATAATGTCATCTCCAGAGAAAGAAGACTTGTAGAAAAGGTCAGAAACAACTGGGCACAGCGGCTCCCAGCTGTAATCCCAGCATTTTGGGAGGCCGAGGCAGGCAGATCCCTTGAGGTCAGGAGTTCAAGACCAGCCTGGCCAATATGGTGAAACCCCATCTCTAGGAAAAATACAAAAAATTAGCTGGGTGTGATGGTGCACGCCTGTAACCCCAGCTACTCAGGAGGCTGAGGTGAGAGAATTGCTGGAACCCGGGAGGTGGAGGTTGCAGTGAGCCAAGATCGTGCCACTGCACTCCAGCCTGGGTGACAGAGCAAGACTCCATCTCAAAAAAAAAAAGAAAGAAAAGAAAATGTCAAACATCTTGAGGCAGGCACAGTGCTGTCATCTGTCCAATACTGAAGGTGATTTAAGAATAAGAAAGAAGAAGAGAACAAAGAAGAGGAAAAGAAGTTGCCTTAGGTGTATCCACCCAGAAAAGGACAAAGGCATTCCTGTAGTCATTGTGTTGTATTTTAGCTCTTAAACTTTTTAAGAGATTAGAATAATTTGATACATAGAGGATCTAAACCGCTGAAGAGGCTCTGAAGCAGATAAAAATAGAAAGAAAATAAAAAACTAATTAGTTACCAATTAAGCTTAACCACAATTCATTTAAACTATACAATTTACCCTTTACATGATTGGTTTTTCCCTTGCTCTATAGTATGACATAGTTTATATTTTTAAAGGGGAATTAAAATATTTCTGGAAATTTTTAAATGTAAGTTCACATAGCCACATAAAAACTGCAGAAACAGATAAAAACTATCTTCTCATTTATTCCCTAATCCATTCAAATTAAATATAAAAATCCAAGCATCCACAGTGATATTTTAAAAAGTAAAAGTGAGACAAAACAAAATTCATTTGTCACCTGTGGAGGTGGTTAACTCACTAAATCTTCACTCCAAACACCAGTAATTTTGAAAAGACAGAAATAAACATATGCTCTGCCTTTCCAGAAGGAACTATGTTTCAGGGTAGCCAAATAACCCAGTTGTGAAGAAAATGGTCTGCTTATAGAAAAATGCCAGCTAAAACATATAGATAGAATTAGAGAATTAGAAATTCACCATTTTTAAACCCCTAATGAAATAATCATCTCAAGCAAGGATGATTAATAAATGCTAAAACAATCAAGTAGATATTGATACAGAGTATAACTGAATTACACAGTACAAAGTTCACGTCACAGACTACTGACTTGACCCAAGGGGGAATATAATGGAGGAGATAGGCAGTGATCACCCTAACCTTGTGATCATCTCAGCATCACTAATGATGGGATATAAATACACATTATTGCCTATGAAATATTCTTTAAAAAAAGAAGTTGAACCTGAATCTAACTAAACCTTGCAATGGGTTGAACGTGTATGTCTTCCCAAAATTAATATGTTGAAATCCTAACCCCAAAGGTACTGGTATTAGAAGGTGGGGCCTTTAGGGGGTCATTAGGTCATAAGGACAGAACCCTCATGATTGGAATTAGTGCCCTTATAAAAGAGGCCCCAGAGAGCTAGTCTCTCCCACTATGTGAGGGCCCAGCAAGAAGGTCACTCTATGAACCAGAAAGTTGGTCCTATCCAGATACCAAAACTGCGGATGCCTTGATCTTGAACTTGCTAGTCTCTAGAACTGTGAGAAATAAACTTCTGTTGTTTGTAAGTCATCCAGTTTTTGGTATTTTGTCATATCAGGACTAAAAGCCTTTAGAACTAACTTCCAGTTAACCAGAAAAACAGAAAACAGAGTGAAAAGTTAAATGACACCATAAAAAGCAACCAGAAAATTCCAGAAGGGGAAATATTCTGCAGGACAACTGACTAGTTTTTCAACAAGTCAATTTCATTAAATAAATACATAAACAAAGAGTGAGGGTACTTTCTAGGTTAAAAAAGTATTGAGCTAAATAATCAAATGCAATGTGTGTCCCTTGATTAGAAGAAACTAATTTGAACAAACCAGCCACAAAAGATACTTCGGGGAGACCAAGCTAGAAGGATCACTTGAGGCCAGAAGTTTGAGACCAGCCTGGGCAACGTAGTGAGACCTCCGTCTCTACAAAAACAATAAATTAGCCGGGCGTGGTGGTGTGCACCTATAGTCCTAGCTACTCAGGAGGCTGAGGCAGGCAGATCGCTTGAGCCCAGGAGTCTGAGGCTACAATGAGCTATGATTGTGTCACTGCACTTCAGGCGGTGTGAAAGAGCAAGACTTTGTCTCAAAAACTAAAAGGACATTTCATAATAACTGAGGCAATCTGAATGTGGACTGGGTAACAAATGATATAAAAAAAGATTTTTTTATTTTGTCTGAAAAGATGATATTGTAACTATACAGGAAAATGTTCTTATTTTTTAGAAATCTGTACTAAGGAATTTAGGGGCAAAATGTCATTTTCTTCAATATATTTTCAAAGACAAGCAAAAAAATAATCATGACACAAATATAGCAAAATGTTTACAATCTATGTTCTATGTTTGTCTATGAGTGCCATTAATCTCATCTCTCTGCTTTTCTGAAAGTTTGAAAATTTCAGTTTTATAAATTTTTTTACATTCCATAATTTTATAATAAATTTTTTAAAGTTTGAAGCAAATCAACAACTATAGCTTCAAAAATATCCTAAGCCACAATAAACACTGAACAGGGTATATTCCTGCCACTTTCTAAAAAAGTTGGCCCAGGAAGGAGTATGAGAGCTGCCATAGCTCTCCCAAGGCTCATTATTCTCCAACACTCCTTGGGAAATCCCAAAACAAATTTTTTAAAAAATTGTTTAAATTTATGTTTTTTGATTCTACAATTTTATAATAAAATAATTTAATAATGTTTTAATTGTATATTTTAATTTATAAAAATTTTTATACATGTTTATGTTTGAAATGTCTATTTCAAACTTTATGAGATATTAAAATATAAGTAATATAGTTCATCATTTTAGAAATTCCATGTTTTTCTTCTCTCCCAGCAATTACATAATCAAAGAGTAACTATAGTTTTTCATAGAACATCGTTTGGTAGGCTAGGCACGGTGGTTCATGACACTTTAGGAGGACAAGGCAGGCAGATCTCTTGAGATCAGGAGTTTGAGACTAGACTGGGCAACACAGAGAAACCCTATCAGTATTAAAAACACACAAATCAGCTGTGCATGGCAGCGTGCACCTATAGCCCCAGCTACTCAGGAGGCTGAGTTGGGAAGATTACCTGAACCTGGGGAGGTCAAGGCTACAGTGAACCAAGACTGTGCCATTGCACTCCAGCCTGGGCAACAAAATGAGACCCTGTCTCAAAAAAAATAATGAAATTTAATTAAAAAAAAAGAAAATTGCTTTGTAAAATTAACTTTTTCAATCAAAACCAAGATTTTTCAGATACAAAGAATGCAGCCCACTGGTCAGATTTGTCAGTTCAAAGAGAATAAATTCTAGTTTTCTATTTTTCTAGCCTGTTTATGACTATCCAATAGGATATCAAAAAAGACTAAAGCATTTGGAATACAAGTTCAGTACTCCTGAGTCTAACAACGTGCCAAATCAGGAGATAAGCACATTCTTATCAATTTTCAATCATTCAAGACCAATTTTGCTTATAATTATCCAGTTATTTTAGACCATCTTTCTCCTGAAGCCAGCCTTATGGCTATTCATTTCACTTTAGCATAAGACCCCAAGAAGGAGAACAAAATGAGGAAATGATTGGTTAAAATTGGCTGTTTGAAATTCTGAAACATGTCCACCATTCCCTTCACACATGCCCACCCCTCTTAGAAGTAGCACTTTCAGATTATTTAAGACTCGATGCTTCTATGTGGATTTTAATTTGTCATCTGTCCTCTATAACAGCTAGTAGGTTAAATTTGACTCTATTTTAAGCATAATTGACCTATGCTAATCATCTGCTAAAATAAATTTCACTCTTAGAGTTAATAAAGTGTGTTTGTCATAGAAGACCCATTGAAGTAAGAAACTGAGGAGTCCTTATGGTAAAGTGGGCCAAGATATAAGACATAAATTTTCCCATGCAAATCAACAACTGTAGCTTCAAAAATATCCTGACACACAAGTATTGGACAGGCCATGTTTCTCTCACTCCCTAAAAAAATTGGCCGGGGAAGGAGTAGGAGAGCTCCCATAGCTCTCCCAAGGCTTATTATTCTCCATTACTCCATGGGAACAGCCTTGTCAGAAAAGAGTGAAAGACCATTTGTCAACCTCTGTTCAACTCCCTGATTCTAGCCAACCTTCATCAATCCCAAGTGAGCAGCCAGAGAGAAATGCAAACCCCGTATCTCCAGCATCATTGTCTGCTGGAGTCAAAAATCACAATTCCACCACCCACCCCAACACTACTGGCCCTGTTTCTCCCAATTGTTTTTTTATTATGTTTTTTAAAAAATCATCTTTCCCCATCCCTGAGACACTGAGGAGGGGAAATTATAGTAGATAAATATGAAGCATGTAGATCCTTTAAAAATGTTTTTAATAATAAACGAGAAAATGAAAAGGAGAGGGTTGGAAGGAGAAAATTCAAATGCCAGGAAATTGTTCAGTTTTGCTTTTAAATATGTTAACACTCATTTATACATCTGCAAGAGACTTTCCATTAAAGAAAAATTCTATGAGTGTGGCTCTGGTTGCATGAATAAGGATGAAATTACTTTTTTAGACAATGTTTTCCACAGATAATTCAGAGACCCCTGAAATTAGGTATCCCTCTTGTAGATGTCCTTGAGATGCTGCCGGACTTGGGAAAGAGGAAACTGGGATATGGGGCTATACCAAAAGGTGCTTATAGTTATAGGACAGTGAGGAAAGGGGCAGTGGGAGAAAAATCCGAAGTCTGAGAATCTGGATTGCAAAAGAAGACTACCGAGGTCGTGGGAGAAAGGAGAGGAAACAAGGATGAAAACCGAAAGAGGAAGAGGCATGAAATGTTGTCAAATGCCAAAAGGCATTTGGAGAGAAGTTGGGAATTGCATTAACAAAACCACTGCAAATCTCATTTCAGACCATTTAGAGATATGCCTCCTGGGAACTGCGAGCTCAGGCTGTTTAACATCAAACAAATTGATCCACTCCATCCCTACCCTAATTAAATAAATCATTCAATAATTCCACCGGGTTAAAGAACCAAATATTAAAAACCTTCAGGGCCCACTCTTGCCAAATATGTCAGGGATCGCGTGCGTGTGTGTGTGTGTGTGTGTGTTCTGTGACACCACTACTCTTAAATAAGCAGAGCTAAGACTTAGGGGATTGGGAGATTATTGCAAAAAGGGCATGGGCCGGAGGACTTTGTTGGGAGCCTAGGAAAGAAGATTGTGTGGGGACGGTGGGCAGCGAACGTGTTGGGAACAATATGAAAAACCAGGAATTGCCTTGGAAACGACGGGGCCGGGCAAGACAATGTCCGAAAGAAAAATGAGCAGGTGCGGGATGTGGCCAGAGTCGGAGAAGAGTCCGGGCGCCCGGAGTGGCTCCAGGAACGACGGAGACCCCTCAATGTTTTTGGGGGCGGTGGGTACTAATAGAACCCGGCGTCCGGGATGCGCCCGGGAGGCTGCGGGTGCGGCGGGGGTGGGGCGCTGGAGGGTGAAGAAGCCGGAGTGAGGTAGCGGAGCCGGGCGGGGGCCTCCCAACTGGGCCCGGAGGCAGTCGGGGGACATGGGCTAGGAGAGCGCATGGCGGCGGCGAGGCGGGAAGCGAGGGGCATCCGGTCACTCACCCCGTTGGCCGCGGCCATCTGCACCACGATCTCGATGGCCGTCCTGCTAAAGTACCTGCCGTCGCTGCCCACCACCATGGTGCAGCCCTGGCGGTCGCGCAGGTCGATGGACGACAGCACGCTCTGGATGAAGTTGGGCAGGTAGTTGCGCTGGCCCTCGAAGAGGCCGGTGGGTCGCCGCAGACCCCCGCCACCGGTCGGCCGCTGGTCCTCGTAGGGCGCGGTGGGCACCGTCAGCACCGGGATGGGGCTCCCCTCCATGGCGCCTCCTGGCCGGTCTTGCTGCGGCTCCCTGAGCCGGAGGGAATCTGCAGCCTGCCGGGGGGCCCCCACCAGCCTGGCTGCGTGCCGGGACTCCGCCTCGTGCCCGGGCCCCCTCCCCAGCAGGTCGGCGCCCTGCGCCCTGCACCCGCCCGCCGGGGGACCGCCCGCCCCTCCTCTCCGCGAGGCCGCTCACTGACTCCCTCGGCAGAGTTTGCTTCTGGCTTCCTATAAAATTTTCTCCCGCCCACCTTCTCTGCTGCCAGACCGCCAGAGGCGCCCTCAGTTTCTTCCCAAGTTGGACTCACTTTCGGGGTGTCCCAAAAGCCCGATTCCAGGGCCTGCTAGCCCGACCCCGGTGACGCCTCCACCCGCGCCTGGCCCCAGCCTTCCCCCGCGATCGCCGCCCTCCGGGGCACACCCTCCGCCAGAAAACAGCCGGCGGGAAGGCGAGACTTTGGGCAGAGTCAGGGTTCCTCTCGCGCGCCCGGCCCCTCTCCAGGTCTCCCTGGGAGTGCGCAGCCTATACGCACCAGTTTCTCTTCAGAACAAGGACTGGGAAGGAGTTGGGAGGGGGCTGAAACCTTTTGCCATCAGCGAACAGCCCCAGCCAAAAATAACCCTGGAAAGGCGAGCTGAGAATGGTTATCTCCTGCCAGCGCTGAAATCGGAGGCTGGGAGCTGCGTGTGGGGTGTGTGTGTGTGTATGTGTGTGTGTGTGTGTGTGTACCCTCCCACCACGACCATTTGTTGAAGGGAATCACCACTGTCAGACTTCAATCCAACAGGACCCACTGGAGCCATCCACACTTTCCCCAGCCTCTTCCAAAACAGCACACTTTCCGGTATGCACAATTCTTTTCTTTTTTTTTTCTCACTTGTTTGTTTGTTGTGGTGGTTGCAACAGCAGCAACACAGACGACACGTATTTCTCTATTCTTCCCGCCCTTCTCACCCTCCCTACCCAGCTCCTGCTTTAGAAACAGGCTTGTCCTACCCTGTATTTGTCCACACTGTCTGGATTCTTAACTGAATTAATCATTTTCAATAGGAGGGGGCTAAAACCCTTATTAATGTCCTACCAGGAGTGAACGAATAAAACCAAGTTAAAAGAGAACTGGGTACCAGGTACTGTGCTAGGTTCCTTTGCATGTATCCTTTCATTCTGCTGGAGCTAAAGATTTTCTGCCTCCTCTCCATAAAACTCACCAAAACTCCAAAACCAGGAAATTCTCCATAGAAAATAGGAGTGAAGAGAGAAAAGACTAACAGGATAAAACCCAAAGCAGGAAGAAAGTTCTGTCTCCCATTTCTCTCAAAGAATTTTTGGATCCACCAAGGCTACCATCCTGAAATATCTTGCTGCTTCTCCTTCCCCAAATATTGTCCACTTCCTGAGAGTAAGGCTGACTCGCCACAGGGTTATAAAGTGTTTGGTCACAGTAAGAAAACTGTGAGTAGTAACACACATTGTATACTGTTTTGCAATTGATAAAAGGCTTTGCATCTGTTTTTTCTTTGCAGGTTGAAGAAAAGAAGAATGGTATTCATGCAGTTCCCATTTTACAGGTGAAAACAGGAGGACTTTTTCTGTGAAGTCAAGAAAGTGGTTACAATGGTACTTTCAGCCTGTCCTAATTATATATCGCCCCTCCCCTTTTTATTAATAACATTGAAATGTGATGGGGAAAACACTGAAGCTGTCAGTTGAAACCGGCTGGGACATTTTAGCCTTTCTCTTCAACATAAAGAATGGGTGTTTTTGGAGGGGGTGAGAGGAATGGAGAAATGTTGTCAAAGAGTACAATGTTTTAGTTGAGACAGGAGAATATATTTTGTTGAGATCTACAGCACAGCATGGTTACTGTAGTTAACAGTGAAGCATTGTATATTTCAAAATTGCAAAGACAGTAAATTTCAAATGTTGTCACCACAAAAAAGATAGGTTTTGAGGTGAATATATTAATTCTCTGGATTTAATTATTCTACAATGTATACGTATATCATAACATCATATTATACCCCCATAAATACATACAATTTTAATTTGCCAATTAACTTTTTTTTAAAAGAATGGTATGGCAAGTCAGGGGAGGTTGTTTTTGTTTTTGTTTTTCCTCTAGTCTCTACTCAGTCTCCAACATCCCATTCCCCATGAAGTTCCTGTCACCCAGCTGGAGTGTAGTGGCACAATCATGGCTCACTGCACCTTCTCCCTATTGGGCTCAAGCGATCTTCCCGCCTACAGGTACATCCCACCACGCCCAGCTAATTTTTGTAGTTTTTGTAGACGTGGGGTTTCACCATGTTGCCTAGGCTGGTCTCAAACTCCTCAGCTCAAGCAATCTACTTGCTTTGGCCTCCCACAGTGCTGGGATTACAGGTGTGAGCCACCAAGCCCAACCCATAAAGTTCATAAATTTTTATCTCCCTGGGAGTGCACAGCCTACACACACCAGTTTCTCTTTAGAACATACTTGAGAGTCTTGGTTTAGCACCCAACAGACAGAACCTGAATACTTCTAGGGATCTGTGCACATCTCTATGGTGTGGGGTTTTTAAGATCTCTTTCTAATGACATTTTATTTTGCAAAGCAGGACAGTTTCATTCCCAGAAGAGCAGGTATGGTAAGTCCTTTGTTCCAGCAACGAAGACAATGATCCAACCCCTAAGCCTCAGAGATGCCCAGAAACCCTCCAGGCCTCCATCTCTCTGCTCCTAGCACCTGCCTCTCTGTTGACATCAACAGCATTCTCTACTCTCACAGCCCAGCTCCTTCCACAGACCCAGGGACTAGGCATCAGCATCTCAGACTAGATTTTAGAGAATTACCATTCAAGAGGCAATCCTCTTCCCTTGGTTCCAATTTCAAGGTTCTCCAAGACTGGAACAGGGTTAGTTTGAGGCAATATGCCCCACCGCATAGCCAGAAAGAACCTCACAGTGAAAAGGAAAACAATTCTTCCCAAGTAAGGGGATGCTGATCCCGAGGGAGGAGAGATGGGCAACCAAACAGTAACTGGGCCACCATGTACTTCACACTCACTGATCAAGGCTTTCTAAAACTATTTTTCTTTTCTCTGAATTTATATAGCACTTGTATCACTCATAAAGGAATGTTTTATAGTCTGATAACACCTTTCTATTCGTGCTTATACCTAACGTTTAAGTTAGGATAATTTCCTAACCTCAGAGTCCTCACTATAAAATGGGAATTATTATAATCCCTACCTCATACATTGTTGGGAGGATTAAAATACTTAGTAAAGTGCCTAATAGAAAGGCATTCAATAAATGTTAGCTATTCATGGTGTCATCATCATTATATTTACCATTATTACTAATCTCTTGTATTGCAAGAATTACAGTTTATATTTTTGTAGACCATCACTGTAGCTAAAGGGTCTTTGGGCATAGGTGATATTCCATAAAGGTTGGTTAAACTGATCTGTGGTTTTTGACTATGGAAACTCAAAATTCCCTCGAAATGTACAAAAGAGGTTTACCTGCTAAACAAATCTCTTCAAAACTGACCCTAGGTTTAATTGAATTAATTCCAATGAATTTGTCACAATGATGGAGAAAGGAAACTGAGAGGGCCCCACAGTTGTTTGCTGGTAAAATGAGAAGTTTGGATTAGATCAATGTTTCCCAAAGTATTTTCCTCAGAATATTAGTGCCCCTCAAATCCTGTACAAAGCGAGAGTTTCATGACCAAGTAGCTTTTAAAATTCCTGTATACTCTACTCCCACTCTTCACAATGCACACTTTCGTATTAAGAGTTCTGAGAGGTTCTCAGTAGAAGACATCTTTTTTTTTTTTTTTTTTTGAGACAGAATCTCACTCTGTCACCCAGGCTGGAGTAAGTGGCCACTCCTGGCCTAAACATTTTTTAACCTGGTGCTTCCCAACCTAAACTCACAGGGACCAGTTTTCTTAGTGAAAGAGAATCACGCTGGCTTGTAACCACAGCTGGTGACACTCCCTTGCCCCACTCCTTGTATGTCCTCAGTGGACTAGGTCAGGAACAAATAAATTTTCCTGATTCTCAAGGGCTGGTCATTCCTTTGCACTGAGCTCAGAGCTTCTCTGTAGCATTGGGTCACAATGAATGGTAGCCCTGATGGCCTAGGGTAGCCTTTCAGCCTTCTCTGAGTCTCTAGAGACTGAGGATCCTTGGCATGAAAAAGGAGCAATTGATATATCCTTGCTTCCCCTGGGGACTCTCTTGCTCTCAAAAAGGCATCAGCCATCATCTCCATCTAGAGAATATACTAGCTGACTCAGCTTGACCAGCCTGTCCCAAAACGAGAATCTAGGTAAAGTAAGTGTTGAAACACTTCATTCCTTGTCTTGTAGATTCACAAAACACATTATCATATTAAAGACTGTGAAGTTCTGCAGGAAAAAAAAAACCTGTTTGACTTCAATCCAACATTGTCAAGTTTTATTTGACCATGGAGGATTTTTCCAAAGCACTTACAAACAGATCAAGGACATTAATCTTTCATGAAACACTTTAGATACCCAGAGTCCTCTCCAGTTACATCATTCTGTGATTTTCTTTTTTATTTATGATGCATTAAAAGATTAATCTCTGTCAGACTTCCATTTAGAAATTCACCAGAATGTGCAAAGGCAGCAGGTAAAATTGCCAAAGGCATTATAAAAATATTCTTCAGTGATTGAGACTTAAACTGAAATATTTATATAACTATATATTTCAGTTTGTATATGTATGTATATGTGTGTATATAGATTTGTGTATGTATATCTATATCTATGTATATATGGCATTATATCCATTTTACAGATGCAGAAACTGAGCTTTAGATGGGGAGAGCAATTGGTCCAAAGCCACACAGCACACAGGTAGTCACTGATAAAGGTGAGAAACAAAGAGTTGAAACCTGAGGTGTAAGGACGCAGAGACAAGTACACAAATGTTTACAAGTTACACATATGACACGTGCCTTTAACATGAAATTCTTGAACATTCATTTAGAGACCTTACAATGAAGATATCAGAGTGGCAGCAAGTTCTGTTGGAATCAGGGGAGCGTGTTCTTCCATACTCCCCTGGCTGACAGGAAAGCACATCGATTTGGCCCATGGTAGTTATACACTCCCATTGAGTCAGGGGCCACTTCTAGGCACACAGAAGGTACTAAAAATATGCTGTTGACTCATAGCCTCTAAAAGCAGAAGAAATGCCAAAAGTATAAGACAAGAGGCAGAAAATCACACGGAAAAATGTCACAGGGCAGTCCTCTAAAGAAGTGCTAGATCACTTTGAAATCTGTCCAAACACTTTCTGGTGCTGGGGAAAGTCAATTATATATTTCAAGCAACCCCACATGTCAAACGAGTATCTTGTAAATGTGTGTGTACTTGTGTCTGTGAACTTACATCTCAGACTTCAACTTTTTGCTTCCCACCCTTATCAATGACTGCCTGCATGGCCTTGCACGAGCTGCTTTCCCTCTTCAAAGCTCAGTTTCTGCTTCTATAAAATGGACATAATGCTACCTAACTCATGGGGCTTGTGATCACATTTAAAGAGCTAATATGTGGAAATTGTTTGCACAGTACCTGGCACATAATAAGCGTTTAATAAGTGTTTGATGTAATTGTTATGATTATTACTACTATTACTAAAATAATAATTACTACAATAATAATGATTCTTATTCTCTATATTAGTATTATCTTTGAAAATGGGCATGGATTATGTCTATGTAACCCTTTTGGCACAATATCTAGCATTATATCACATACAAATTAGAGAATTCATGTTATTAAGGATGAAAAAATATTTTTACTGACCCTTAAATGCTTTGTAAGTAACTGCAAAAGAAGCCATTATCCCAACACATGAAACAAACAAAAAAAATATCCAGTTCCTCTGGAGTTTGTTTTTGGAGGTAGGCACAGGATACCTAAATTTTTTTTCTTTTCAGAGAGACCAAGGGGCTCACTATGTTGACCAGGCTGGTCTCGAACTCCTGGCCTCAAGCCATCCTCCCACCTCAGCCTCCTAAAGTGTTGGAATTACCGGCATGAGCCACCACATCCAGCCTACCTAAAATATTGAATGCTGTTAATAAATCTCCTGAGGCCAGCATAAGAAGTTGATGGGCAAAACTAATGCAGGTATGTTTTCCTGGCTTCTTTATGTATTGGGCCCATCTTTGAAAAGCACTTCCTGTTAATGGCTAACTTGCAAAATTTGTGATTTATTAAAAGCAGATTTTAATTGTTTTACCTAAAAATAATAGCCCTCTGGTCTGCCAAAGATGAAGATTTAATTTCTTGGTGTTCTCTACAATACCTAGAAACATCAGTGTAATCGATTATTAAAAACTTTGGAAATATTCTCATCAAAGTTCTTTATTTTATAATACAGCAAAAGAAAAGTTTGTTTTCTAAAGGCATCTCTATACTTTTTTAATAGTTGAATTTCATTTCTGAAGCCTCCTAAAAAGGGTATAATTTAGATCTTTATTAAAGAGGAAATATATTTTCCATGTTTAATTTAAATTATATTCCATCAGTCATTTGCAATCTTAGCCTACACAGAATTTTTTTTTTTTTTTGGTAGTTTTTATGTTTGGGCTTTAGGAGGGGATTCCCAATAATCTCTATATAAATATTTTAACATTCCAATGTAAATTAGTTTTTTAAAGCTATTTTATCCATAAAAATAATGAATTTGCATGGCTGAGAGTGAAATAATGTGTTATCAGGACCCCTCAGTTTTGGGAGTTGTGAGTAGATCCTATCTTTATGTTCCTCCAGCCCAGCCCAAGCCTGGCTCGGGTCCTCCTGCCCTATTTATCAGGAACCACCATCCCCAGGGATTTTATGTGGCCTGCCTGACCAGTGTTCTCCATCAGATTTTACCAATCTTTTCTTCATTCCCTCAGAGCACAGCTGAG